GTATTATTATGTCCCTCCATCCCAAATATAAAAGACATTTTTCTTTTATAATTTCGAAACTTCTCCCTAAAGACTTTATTTTCTTACATTTAAATTAAAATTTTCTATGTTTTTTTTTAATATTTAGCTTCCCTTCTCTTTTATTGTTCTTGAAACTCAACACCTTATCAGTTACACTCTTGGGACTTTTTAGTTTGTATCTTGTGCTGTGTTAGCCCCACCCCAGCTAGTTCAATCGGTAGAGCAAGAGATTATTAATCTCACGGTCATAGGTTCGTGCCCCACTTTGGGCACCAAAATGTACAACCGATTTAAGCTTATCTCCAACTAGGTTACAAATAAATGAGACTCAGACTATGGTTATTTTATTTGGCTTTGACAATTATTTGGGGGGTCACCCCTAATCTACTTTTCTTGCTGATGACCTGGCTATCTCCCCAGCAGTGTACCCCAGATACTTGCTGTTTCTCCTGGCCATGTCCTCATGGTTCCTCTCCCCTCATGGGGGCTTCCTCCTCTCTCTGGTTCTTCCTTTTCTCTCCTCCAAGCAGGTCACTACAAACTCACCTACCTCTAATTTCTCCAGTAATTGGCTGTAGCCAATTTTATTTAACCAATAGTTTAAAATCAAGGAACAAGGTTTATATAACAAAATTCACTCAGAGGCCTAGACCTTTGGGTCTAGAATTTAGCATTACAATACGTAGTAACAGACCAAACTTCAACAATCAGGGGTCAGGAAAAGGGATCAGGTTATCCTTAGACTACTTCATGCTGATTGGGGGCACCTAGGTTCTTGGAGCAAACTTGACCTTCAGTGTCATGCTATTATCTGAGGCCATAGGCCTCTGGTCCTATATTTAGGAGCTGATAGTCCTATAATAGCAACTAGTTAAAAATCTGGTTAGAAATCTTTCAGATCTGTTGATGAAGAAATCAGGACAAGCAGATTATGAGATGGTACAATTAGTAGAATTAGGAAAAGAAGGAAAAGGGAGGGTTAAGAAAGGCAGTGTCCGGTTCCATATTGGACTGTCAGTGATCCACTGTCCAGATGCAGTGAGCTAGTCCTTATGTGTTTTTGGAGCTCTGTCTGGAGTTGTCAGATCTTATCTTTTTCTATACCCAACTGATTGACATAAAAATCAACATTCTTCCCTGAGGAACAGGCGAAGACCACCCTTCTTCACTGTTAGTAAATCTAATCCTTAACGATTTGTAGTGCTACAGCAGCCAGTGAGCCTATTTGACCCTGGAGGGTGAGGATCATCTGAGCCACCTGTAGGAGATCCTGAATGAACTCAGAGAAAAACTGACAGTGGGCAGTTAGGGGTATGGCTAGTCCTGCTGTTCCAGGTTATACCCAGGTGGTCAAGAAGGGGTAAGGCCTGAACCATTCATTTGTCATGTCACACCAGTTTAAACTCTGTGATGGGAGCGGGCAAGGGCTTTTCTCTGGGTACTGTCCCCAGTTTTGGGAAAAGGAACACCAGGGCACAAATCCCAGACCACAAGTGAATAGCCAGCAGAAAACTTGAGTGCCACAGAGGATGGAGGGGTTGTGAATGTTTGACATGAGGACTGAGTGGTGGTGCTCAGTGTCAGGGTATTTCACAGTGTAAGGAATACAGTGTGCCCATAAAGTGTGTCCCTGAGAAACTGAATCAGTCTGTGTACCCCAGAGAAAGATGGTGGGGAAATAAGGGGTATGAATGGTGTTTGACTGAGAGCAGTTACTGATGGGTGAGGTGATAGAGGATGATAGTCTAGTGGTCATGGTGGGACCCGCATCCAGCACTTCCCAAAGTGGCCAGGGAGAGTGTAATTCAGTAGCTGACCTCCAGTTAGGACAGCCCACATTCGTTCCGTGTGCAAGACCATTATGAGTAACCTCGTTAAGTTTCTGGCCACTTTTTACATTAATTTTCCTTTTGGTTATAGAGAAAACAGACATGGGGGTAAGCGCTTGGGAAGGAGCGATGGATAAGGAAAGTATGGGGAACTGAATTAGACTTTGACAGCCGGATACAGAGAAAGTTCCTGACCCTATTAGGATGGACGGGCTGTTGGTTATAGATAGGAGTCTTCTGGATGTTAAACATCCACATGTAAGGGCTGCACTGGAGAGGTGCAGAGAGGAAAAAATAGAGGAGGAGAGAGCAAGTTCAGATATAAAAAATTTGTCTTAGAATAAAGGGGGAAAACTCGTTCAGAGGCAGAGTTGCCACAATTGAAAATTGAGCATGCCAGGCGGGAGAGATGGCTCAGTGGTTAAGAGCACTGACTGCTCTTCCAGAGGTCCTGAGTTCAGTTCCCAGCAACCACATGTGGCTCACAACCATCTGTAATGGGATCCAGTGCCCTCTTCTGATGTGTCTGAAGATAGCAATGGTGTACTCATATAAAATAAATAAATCTTAAAAGAAAATTGAGCATGCCAATTTTGGCCACTGAACTGTAATGAGGTCATACTGTTTATAATAACAGAGTGAGACTTTAATAAGAGTCATGTCTATGGAAGGAGAGAGGAAAGGTTAAAAACGAACTGTGAGTTGAAGGCTAGCCTGGTCTACAAAGTGAGTTCCAGGACAGCCAGGGCTACACACACAATCCATTCTTTATTTTCTCATGAAAAACAAAAACAAAACAAACACACAAACAAAGAGAAAGCTCTCCTCCATTGTTTGCCTCTCTCTGTAGCCCAGGCTGGCTTGAAACCTACCTCAGACTCCAAATTCTGGTATGGCCTGGCTGAAATTTTTTTTAAATCATGAAAAGATTCTAGGATTGTTAAATGTTTATCTGTATCTGTGACACAATCATGTGGGGCTTTTCCTTCTTTATACTAAAATAGTTTATTTTGTTGCTTGATTATCATCTGTTGAGTAAAGCTTGTATTTCTGGTAGAAATCTTGCTGTATCATGATGTGGTCTTTTGGTGTACTTCTGATTTCAGTTAATAGCATTGTATTGAATGGTTTCTGTCAATCTATCTTTCTCTCTCTTTCCCTCTTTCCCTCTTTCCCCCTTTCCCTCTTTCTCTCTCTCTCTCTCTCTCTCTCTCTCTCTCTCTCTCTCTCTCTCTCTCTCTCTTTCTTTTGTTTTTTAAGACAGAGTTTCTTGTGTAGCCCTGGTTGTCTTGCAACTCACTCTGTAGACCAGGATATTGAACTCGGAGATCCCCCTGCCTCTGCCTCCCTCCTCAATGCTGAGTTTAAAGGTATGTATCACCACCACCTGGCTAGAAGTTTGAGGATTGTAAGTTTAAGGGCAGCCTGAGACACTATCTAAAAATAAAATTAAAAACAAAGTCAGACAGGAAGGGAGGGAGGAAGGAAGGGAGAGAGGGAGAGAGGGAGGGAAGGAGGGAGGGAGGGAGGGAGGGAGGGAGGGAAGGAGGGAGGGAGGGAGGATGGATGCTAACCAAAAAATCGAACTACAAGGGCCACGGAGACGTGACTTCAGGAAACAACTTCCACATTCAGGATTTAGCGAACAATGAAAAATGAAGTTAGGGACGATCTTGTAGAGTTAAGCCCTCGGAGACGCCAAGATTTAGATGCTGTATGGCTAGGCTCCTGTGCTGAACGCTTGGTCCCTAGCTGAGAGTACTGTTTTGAGGCTAAAGGGCTGTGCCTTTAAGAGCTGTACCTGCTACACAGAGAAACCCTGTCTCGAAAAACCAAAAAAAAAAAAAAAAAAAAAAAAAAGAGCTGTACCTGTACCTGGTCCTCTCTTTCTTAATTGCTTTCTGCATCTTGTTTTCCTTGAGGTGTAACATTTCCCCCACCCCTGCCTTGGTGACCTAGTGCCTAGGCCAAGCAGCTGTGAGTGAGCCTCTGACACTGAGTTGAACACTCAGCCTCGCCTCTTTCAAGTTATAGCAAGCACTTTCTCACAAGAAAATAATACAACAGGTTAAATATAATAGATAGTGGTTGTTGGTGAGATGGCTCAGTGGGGAGAGGCGCTTGCTAAAACCTACCAACCTGACTTTGATCCCCTGATTCCACAGTGGAAAGAGAAAACCAGTTCTTTCAGGTTGTTTTTTGACCTTCACACACACCCTGTGCCATGCATTTACTAACACCATCCCCACACACATAAATATATCTTATACACACTTAAAATAATCATAAGGACAAAACAAAAATGATAAAGAAAGTAGATCTTTTTTATTGGCCTCAGTGACCATTCCTTAATCTTTTAGGGACCTAGACTTAAAGCCACACTGGCATTGGTGGCTTCTATGATGAAAATGAATTTCAGGATTAGTTAGCATGAATCAGAGTTGGAGACTTTATTAAAGACATATTTTTTTAGATTTATTTATTATATATACAGTGTTCTCCTTGTGTGTATGCCTGATCTCATTATAGATGGTTGTGAGCCACCATGTGGTTGCTGGAAATTGAACTCAGGACCTCTGGAAGAGCAGTCAGTGCTCTTAACCACTCAGCCATCTCTCCAGGCCCCTATTAAAGATATCTTAATGTAGAATTGAATTGTGAAAGTTAGGGAAAAAAACAAGATGTTCAGAAAAAACTGACGACATGCCCAAGGTGTGTGCTTCTCAAGACAGTGCAGTCATTACCTCTGCTTTAGTTACATAAACCATTTTTGAGTGGCTCTCAAGTTATGTCTCGAAAGGTTAACTAGAAACCTTTGTTCATCCCTTTGCCTTCACTTTTTGTTAAGTGAAGTTATAGGATGCTCCAGAGATTCCCTGGGTGAAATTATACTCTGATGAGGGGAAACCAGGGGCTGCTGGAGTACAATAACAAAGGGGTTGAGTCCCAGAGAGCTGCAGGTTTAGTGCTGCCGGGGGAAGCCTGCTTTCACCAGTTGCTATGCTCGATTCCTAGGGAAGGTTCCCCTTCCAGTTTCCTGTCCCTGTAATTATCCTTGTCTTTGTATCCTGCCTTAATCATATCACAGTGAGATCTGTGAAGATGTTTCACCTCCAAGTGGGAATATTACTAGGATTTACTGTTTTGTAGGTGGTGACAGTGGACTGGATGGGTTAGGAGGGACCAATATACAACTAGGAAGCCCAGATAAGAAAAAACGAAAGGCCAGCACACAGGTAAGTTGACATTTTTTTAAAGTTATTTTTATTTTTAAGATCTGGTGTTTTGTTGTTGTTCATTTATTTGTTTGTTTTAAAGCAAGTGTGTGTGTGTGTGTGTGTGTGTGTATGTGCAGGAACCCAGGAAGCCTGAAGGTACAGGCAGTTGTGAGCCACCTGAAATGTGTGCTGGGAACTGAACTCAGGTCCTCTGGAAGAGCTTAAGTGCTCTTAACCACTGAGCAGTGTCTTGAGCCCCGATGTTTTCCTTAGTAACAATTTTCACTTGGGGTAATCAAGAGGGTATGTGAATGTTTACCTTTGGCCATGTGGTTTACTTCCTTTCTGCTTCATAGCCTAATGGAGAGTTCTGCACTCAATGTGCTGTTTGTTAGTCTAACCTGTAGTTCCATTTAAAGATTTTAAAATAATTTTCACTTGAGTAATTGTTCTGTTATTATGGCAATCAATATTGTGTAGCTATCAAGAAGTAACTATAGTGAAAATCTTTATTGTAACGTGTGGCTATAATAAATACACACACAGCCATTTGTGTTTGTTTGTTTATTTATATGTATATGAGTGCCTGCATGTATGTCCATGTATCATGTGCATGCAGTGCTCATGGAGGCCAGAAGAGGGCGTTGAATCTCCCAGAACTGCTTACAGATGGTTGGTTGTGAGTGCCTGCAGGTGTTGGGAACTAAACCCCACCTTCTGTGAGAGCAGCAAGTGTTGTTACCACAAATCATCTTTCCAACTCTGCCTTATGGTTTTATTTGCTGTAAACTGAAGCGCTCTTCTGCTGAGAATGAGTGTGGGTTACTCTGATAGGAAACTAAATTATTTTTTATTTCCATTTTGGTCACTATCTGTTATATCTGAAGTGTAACCATTAGCTGTGTAGAGATTAGGGCTTTGAGAATGCTTTAATTATGGCTCTCTTGACGTTATAACAAACACTTGAAATTTGTTTATCATTATCTAGCTTTGAGACTCTTTGAGTATAAAAAAAGTTTTGCTTGGCACACTTCAGTGTTTTAAGAGAATGCAGCTGCAGGCAAGCACATACATGAAAGTTGTGGTAGGCCCCTAAAAATGATTTATTTTCATTTTACATGTATGAATGATGTTCTGCATATATCTCTGTATACCACATGCGTGCCTGGTACCCATGAAGACCAAAAGAAAGCATCAGATCCCCAGGATCTGGAACTACAGACAGTTGTGAGTCACCACATGGGTGCTGGGACTGGAACCTAGGTCCTGAGGAGCAGCCAGTGCTCTTCAGTGCTGAGTTCACTGAGGTTTGAACAAGCGAAGGGTTATAAGCTAGAAAAGCGTGCCTCATCTCCATTCCTAAATGAGAAAGCGTGTTTTGTATCGTGGGCCTGTTCGCCTGTGCTGGCGGCGGCCTGAAAAAGGTGTCAGATCCCCTGGAGCTGGATTTGTAGATGGTGGTGGACCTTTGCTGGGCACCAAGCTTGGGTCCTCTGGGAGAGCAGTAAGTGCTCTTGACCACTGAGCTGGGAGAGCAGTAAGTGCTCTTGACCACTGAGCTGGGAGAGCAGTCAGTGCTCTTGACCACTGAGCTGGGAGAGCAGTA